CCCCAAAACCCCAAAACCCCAAAACCCCTGAGAATAAATAATATTCAAATTAGAGAAACAGAAGATATAATATTTAATGTATAAGCTTAAAACAAATAATCTTTTTGGAGTTTTGCCTTTGAAAAAAGGCATAAGAGTCATCGGGTTTTATGATTTCGTTTGGTTCATCATGGACTTTGTTGTGATGATATTGACAGCTGTTGGATTTGTGACTTTCTTAATGCCAAGCAAGGATAAATATTGGGTTCTACTTTTGAGGTTTTTCTTAGTTGACATTCCAAGGTTGGCTTCATTTGTGTTACTTTTGAGATTCTAAGCTTCTCAGAATACGAGATTGTTTATGTTTGTTGCCAGATTCGTTACATTACCTATTGAAGGTATCCTGTTTATATATGCTTACAAGAGTATTAAAGGAGCTAGCATAGGTATGGTTTTCTATTATGGCTTCTTTCTACTGATGAATATATATTTTGGATTCATGATTTACAAGTATTTCTTGACAACTAGCTAAGAAGAGATATAAATTGAATTAGAGCGACTAGGGGAGGAGTAAGTTGATGTGATTACTGACGAATAAGCTGCAAAATAGCGAATCATGCTAGATCAAAAATGGGCAGGAAATAGAGCAATGAATTACGACAGTACACAGCAAGACGACTTAAGTCCATAGTACAAGAATAACAACAGAGATGTCAAGGTGACTATTAGTTTGGACCATATAAATGAAAACGACGAAGATGAAGGAGAGGAGTAATATATTTTCAATCAAAATGGCCTGCAAAGTTAAGTTAAAGATAAGAAAGCCACACCTGCTAATAGATAGAATCAATTGAACATTTTTGATGTGAATCCAGAGGAAATACACTTGGATGAAGAATATTTGACTAAAGATTATAAATAGACTAATAATGAGGACAAAATTGATCATCAAATTCAGATAGTCGATGCTGACGACAGTGAGAGGTACAAGATTTGATTAGATTATTTAATTTATTCAATGATTTCTTTAATTCCATAGCATGGGGTTTTGGGGTTTTGGGG